GTTATCCTGCCATGACTTATATTCACCCAAGAACTGCCTAACACTGTTCTCATAGGGAACATCTTCACCATCCGCCAAAGCAGCTTCTTCATCCTAGAATTGAAAGAGAAACACTTTTAAAAAAAAAAAAAAAGATTTTCTCTGTTTCAACAAGTACTTCGAGTTAGATGTATTTCAGTTAAGGTATGTACTGGCAGTGCCTGAGCTACAAAAGTCGACTTACAAGCCCAAAATTTTACAATCTGAATGACCTGGATGCTAAACCTGAATGGAGACGAACACTGGTCAAAGCCCTAAAATGGGAGACTCTAAAGAATTCTTCTTCTACAGGAATTTTGTTTCGAATATGAAATAAAAACTCTTAAAATCCTATAATTTGTTGTTTTATGACCATGACGTACCTTATCATTGTGGGGGGTCAGTTTCCTATTTAGGATCATATAAAATGCTAGAAGAAGAAGAGAATCTCAAGGAGCTCTGGTGGCATACTGGCAAGAAGCTGCACTGCAATCCCAGAGGCACGCAGTTCGAATCCACCAGATGCCCTGCTGGAGGAGGAACAGTCTCCTCCTGTACCAGTCAGATCCAATTTGACGGTGCACACACACACACAAAATAATTATATATATATATATAAAGAGACAATCTCATTGGGCACAGCCATGAGGACTGGGGTCAGAGAGAGAGAGAGACTACTATCTGAAACTAAGCTGCTGAAGTCTAACCCCTAATACAAGCTGGGTGAGTCAATTCATTTCTGTAACTATGCCTGTACAAATTATTGTTGATGAAAAGACTAACTAGAAGATGATTTTTGTTTATAAAATGCCATTGTTTTTCCACAAATAAAATTAGCTCTAATTTTATAAAAGGGAGGAGTGAAGTGAGTGTGTCCTGATGGCATCAGACTTACCTTAGCCATTGCTTTCAGGAGATGTTTGACATCTCCAAGCTGTCGGTTGTGACCAGTGAGCACAGTCTTTATATTATCCACCAGATTCTGAATT